TATTAATAGCTATTTCAACAGAAAAGAATTGTAAAATTAGTTTTTATTTGAGCAGTGCCGATCTCTGTTCTCGATGTACCAGTTATCGGCACAGAAATGATCCAGTGATCGACGTCCTCTATTTGATTACGTATCTATTCATTATCTCGACTATGCGTATGACGATTACTGTTCATAGAATGTCTAGATAATAACAATTACGGATCTAATTTTTTTATTTGGATTTTGGATACATTATTCGATTTACAAGAATTTTTTTCGGTCCATCTAGTCTCAATAATGGTAGATATGGCGATTATGAATGACTACATGCTTCGGTGGATCAGTGCTAGTCATGTAAAAAAAGAAACTGAAATTTATATGAAACAATAATTGTGATGGTGTATGCGATCTCGATTTATAACTCGAAGCTCAATTTACCTCATGCAAATTGCTAATGCTCCAAAATCATACGAAACGTCAAACAGTGTCTCTTAACCTCACAATGAAGCATTTGATCGAAATCACGTATAGGCTCGGTTGCTGTACATATTTGATTTAATTAATAGTGATATATAGTAGTCATATATTTACGAGTTTTATAATGTAACACAACATTGTAAATACTTTCTTGGAATCAATAAAAATATCAGCAAGCCTTATGATTGATAGAAAGCACTAAAATACGTCTTTAATACGTGAACTTGGCGATTATTGGTACCCTGACGATTTCTGGACCGACTCTCTCTCTCTCTCTCTCTCTACCTTAAATAACATTCATTTTTATACGGAAAGTATAAACTTTCGATTCCACTCCATTTTTTTTAGGGATCATACATCTGATACATTTTTAAATTTTTCTACTTTTTTTTCTCTCTTTATAAATTATTGATATTCTCTGTTATTTAGTACAATTACTGTTGCTAATAACTTCAAATTTTAGACACTTTAAGTCTTAACAAGCGTTTCACTTAAATAAATATCTATACTTTGTACCAATATCGCTCAATAAAGCTTATCAATAATTTACTTGAAGAGGGGGAACGAATTGTGCTGTGACGTGAAAGCTTACATGTAATTAATAGCTCTATGAGAGCATCCGTCTAACGCTTGAACGACACGGGAATTGGGGATAGTATGTACGGGAATGAGTAGCGTTAGGAGAGCCACCTACTCGTGGAGAAATCGATCGATCGTTTTTCATTCACGCGCCTTCGGCATATGGGATATATATATATGTATATATACTAGCCCCTGATATTCGGTCTCCAATCATGCACATCTTTCCTTTTCTACCTGGACCGACACCTCGAGCTTTCTACTTCTCCTGATCCACTTCCTGGTTTCCTTGAATAACGAAGAAATTGACATTTTAATGAGACAGAAGAAGTCAAAAGAGAGCCAGTCATTTCTGATTGTTTAAAGAATCAGTGAATGAATTCAAGGGGTAAACAGAAATAAAACGTTTTGGCCGCGAAAGAAAGGTTTACGAATAGGATCGTACGTAAGAACAGCGAAGGTAAATTTAAACTAGGAAAGGAGGATAAATGGTAAATTCGTGGTGATTGTTCGTGGGATGGAAATTAGAGTAACAATAAGAGAGGAGACGAAAAGCGAGAGTAGAAGATTACGAGAGAAGGAAGCTCGGCACCTCGTGAAGAGGAGAAGAAAGGGGATACTGCGGTCGAGTTCGGGAAGAAAGTCGGTAAAAATGGGCGAGAGGGGTGAGGAAGGAGAGTTGAACCATAGGTGGTGGGCGAACATTGCGGTCCAGAGGGATGAAGGAGAGCCGCGTTGCCACTGAGGGGTTGGTGATGCTGGCGGATGAGACACGCCGGGCTATGGAAGGGTATATACGTGTGGGAGGGATGACTAGGTAGTGGCGGGGTAGTGAGGGTGGCTGTCGAGGATAGTGGGTCGGTCGGTTGGTTTGCGTGGAGGGACTGCGCGGCAGTCGAGGTTGCGAGGTTCAGTGTTGGGGAGCGCGGCATCGCGATGCGTCGGTTTTCCGTCGCTGCCGCACTCGCGCACGGCTTTCTTCATCGTTCGAACTTATTTCTAGTACGCGAAGAAACTCTTGGATAGCCAATATTTTATTTTTGTTTCACATCTCTCGATTTTTCTGTTTATTTCCGTCTCTTCTAACCGCGCTCTGTCTCTCTCAGCCTCGTTCTTTGCTCGCCTTTCTCCCGTCTCCGACAGTCACCCCCGCGTGCGCTCTTACGCGTGATTCTGTTTGTATATCTCTTCTTCGCGTTATACGTCGCAACTCGTGGTCCATTTATTCTATGTTCTCGTTCTCATTCTCATTTGATCTGGAGCGCGCTCTTCGACGCGCGCGACGTGACGCGCCGTGACGCGCCAGCGACAGCGTGCATCAAGCTTCGCGAGTGACAGTGTGTGACGACGCGGCAGTGGATATAAGGGCAGATCATGGCACCGGACAGGGCCATGCGGCTACGAGATCCGTGAATACGAGCGCGCTAACGGCGGCTCGTACACGGCGATGGATCATCCGTATGCGGGTGGTTGGATAGCTCAAGGTCACGGTGGCGGTGGAGGCGGCGGCGGCGGCGGCGGCGGCGGTGGTGGTGGTGGTGGAGCGCTTGGCGGAGGCAGTGTGGTGACGACGGTGCCGCGATGCTGGGAAAGGCCGTGTAGATCGACCGATCCTTCACCGATGCGTCCGTTTGACCACGGTATGCGCTCGACAGAGACGATGAGATCGATGGAATCGATGAGATCGATCGATTCCATCATACGTCAACCACCATCTGATCAGATACGCATGGAACATCATCATTCTATACGACCGATGGAGGGAATGAGCAGATCAATGGAACAAATCCGTACGGAGCAACCGCGTTCGGTCGTGGATCATTCCATGACCGCTCCTCCGTCTTCGATGTCACCGGGCAGTATAGGGAGCGGTATGGATCGTGGCCGTATGATGCGCGCCATAGAGCATCCCTGCCGGCTAAAAGATCACTCCAGTTACATTCACGATCATCACTTTGGGAGGCCTCACGAGCACGGCTGTCGATCGACTGAGCACATATCACGGCTGCTGGAGCATCGACAGCACGAAGCGCAACATCCGGGGAGACCGCCGATTGAACATCCAGCCGTACGACCGCCTATGAACTATTCTTGCAGATCCCTCGATCACGCCCCCGGGCGACCCATGCCGATGGACTGCGTGATTTTTGGCCCGCATACCCATCCACCGCCCAGACTGCCCGCGGAAAGCCCGTTTCGCATCAACTGTCCCGTACATAGTCCCTTCCGATTCAGATTCCCAAACGGCGCCGGCACCGAGTACCATTCGCATTCACAGGTAAAGCACACTCGCATATCCGCAACATGTCGACTATTGTCCGAGTGAGATGAGAGTGATACTATTGTTCGTTTCTTCTCGCTATGCTAGAGGATTGTGCGATTTATTCTGCATATTTAAATGGACCGATAGACGTAGATGTTATCCGCAGGATCTCCACGTGCGGCCTCATAATGAATAAAAATGATAGGTTGAATAACAATGTTGGAAAAATAAGTGCAAGCTATATCCAAGTAGTTGCTTTCCATCATTTTCTAACTATTGCCTGTGATAATTACTATATATAATTCTTATATAATTCTTATATAAAATATATTGACATATAAATCTATATAGAACATTTACTAAATTTTTTGCCCTAATTGTTTATGTACGTGATTTATTGTACATGAAAAAATAATTTTAATCGTTGTAATAATCGTTGTAAAACGCGGAAATAAAGTTAAGAAAATATTGTACATTTATTTTCCAATTGAATAGTAGTATTTTCGTTCTAATTGATATTAAATGATACAAATTTTAGCCAAATTGACTTTTTCTCACAACGTCATTAATATACAATTAGATTTGATTAGATTTAAATTATTCTATAATATACAGGTAGCAATCAATAATTAATTTCGAGATTGTTTCTCAAATTGTATTTCGAGTAAGAATTATTATAAAATAATTAGTTCAAATTACTGCTTAATTTTACAAATAAATAAACGATCCAAGATAATATTTAAAAAATATAAATTGAACAGTTGTATAATTTTTCTTATTATTTTGCTATGGGAATTGCATTTAATCGCGATATTGGATATTAAACCTTAAATCACGATATTAGATCTTAAAATTATCTTGTCACAGAGTTTCAGGCAAATCTACTTACTGTTCATTGTCAACCTAAGTCCACAGAGTGTTTTAGTAAACATTAGTCCTTCCGTGCTGAAGCTTAATGCAAGGATTTAGGTATGCTTAATATGAAAAGCGGATGTTCTAATTCCTTGAATAACTAAGCTGTATAACTTTTCGTAATCAAATAGTTCATTTTTGTAGTAACATTTCTGAGCGAAAGATTTTCTTCGAATTAAGCGCACGCTTAAACGAAATTCAAACGCTTATTCTCAAATTTTGCGTAATTTTCACGGTTAATTCAGCCAACCGTAGAATTTTTCTTTCTATGCTTATAAATGATAATGAGAATGCAAGAACTCATGTCCTACATTTTATACTGATATCGTAATATACTGGGATGGCTATCACGTGTGAACCTAATTCCATTATACATGACAACTGGAAATTCTCCCGCATTATCACGCTAGCTTTCTCGCTGAAATTTTACGTAAGAGCGTACTTGCATACTACAAGTTTATTCTGTGGCGCGTTTATTTCGTAAGAAAAATGCGTCGCGCTCGTTCGGTTCATGTCGTAGAATTCGATCCACAGCCGCATCTAGATTGAGCTTGTGCTCGGAATGTGTCGCACGTACACGTAAAAATAATGAAAAACGCACACAACTGCATTTGTTTTAGCAAACCAATGCACTCGATATACTCGGGGAAAATTAATGTCGCCAATATATGACATGTACGATGTATATGCTTGAATATTTTTGGAAATTACGCGAAATAAAAGATTCTCGTAATTCCTGTCGGGCATTGAGTTCTTCGGGATACCTTTTGAAATTTATGGGCTAATTTAAAGAGCCTCAAATGAGAGAAAAGGTAAAATACTGATTTCATTGTTCTTAACAATGAGAGAGGAATATTGCATTGGAAAATAAATAGAGAGAGAGAGAGCTCAAAATGTGTTTAACGTTTTTTATCTTATGCTTAATTTTATTTCCGTTTATTTGATTTTATTTCCGTTTATTTTTTTGTAAAAGCGACTAATACTGAAGCTCGCAAATTTCTTGCATTTTTTGCGAATACCATATAAATATGATGAATTCGTTATATTTTTTACAAGGTAAAAATCTAGTTATATACTAGGAAAAAATTTATATAATATTTAGATTCCTATATTGTAGTTGGAGCTTTTCATTAGAATTTGGAATGTTATATCTTAGTGAATGGGTCAAAAGTCATTATCTATTGGATAGTAATACGGATGATAATATAGGATCGATGGCATTGTGTGTTATGCATGCAATATAGATAATAACAGATGTAACTCCATATCTCTGAGCTATTCCTTTGACGAATTTGTAAATGAGATTACTATGTAACTGTGGTAGTCGCATCTGCAGATCGCAGCTGTGAATACGACCGCAACATGGTTAGTTAGACCAGTCATAGAATATAGATTCCGAACTACGTTCCATACCGTTACAGCGTTAGAAACGGTCCAGAACACGTCATATAAGCTTACTTCATTGGGCATCGTATCGGTTCGTGTTTTATTTGGGTATTTCGATAAAGTCATACATTGACATAGTTATTGTAAATATCTTCAATCTTATTGTAATATAAATGTACAGTTTTTAATATAATTTTTAATATTCATATCTTGACACTTCGATTTGTGCGCTTATTCTTCCAACATGTTATATATTTATTACTATTTTTTAATCATTGACTTGACATCAATTGATTATTTTTTTAATTCTCTCCGTTGTGTGCTACGTTTACTTTTAATCTTCAACTGTCTCTTACTTTGATGTATAACTCGTGTCCATTAACGGATTGAGCACTGGATTTTCTACTCAGTCATACAATTGCTTGTGACGTTTTCTGCAAAATTTTATTTAGCTTGAGGCTCCTTCAAATATCGTTGCTGGACTTACATAAGTTTATGATGACCTATATATTTGTACGTACTTGTCGGTATGTCTGAAGTGCATTGAGAATGGCTTAAAAGTGAGTTGAAACATACGCGTTAAGCTTTTTCAATGCTTTTGTGAGATTTTTACTTAATATTAGCATTTCAACATCTGCGCATGGTTCTTATTTGCCCTTGTTCTCTTTTGATATATTTTTAATATGAATCACGAGCATCGTATAATACGTATATTGTATGTAGATGTGCAGCATTGTTCTAAAATAGGTCCCCATTCTTTGTAAATGTTCTCTTCTTAATCAGTTTATAGAATGTATAATATTTTTTTACAATAAGGTGGTCAAAATGCTAATAATTCTTAAATTACGGATGATTAAAAATTGATAGGTTTTTTTTTTTGTGAAAAACGATTTATGCTTTGACAATATTATCTCGAAAGAGAATTGTCGAGGATTTTAATTATGAGTGAAAATGTGAATTTCTTTATTATTTTATATCTGTATTTTTAATAACCTCTTATAAAAAATGAGTAACTATATTATCTCATTATTATATTATACATCCATCATTGCGTAAAATATTAATTATTTTGCAGAATAACACTTCCGTTGATTTTGTAATTTCTATCAGTGGTTCCCGCAATTGCGTGGCGTCACTGTATTTAATTAAAAAATAATTCTTCATTACTCGCGCGCTTGAAACAATTAAGCGGTAACCTTATTTCGGTTTTCTTGTATTATCTTCTACAAAAGCAATGTTTACATTTTACATTAAAATATTGTTACTGCTACAGATTTTTCAATTTGCACAATTTTGTGCATATTGTGTTATTTAAAACGTATAATTCTGGATTTTTAATGCTAAATATTCCTTTCAAAAATACCCTTTATCTACGTTACACTTTATCTTTATGTACGCAAATTGCGACATAACGTTAGACAAATTCTCCATCACCATGCTTTAACTAAATGAAACGCGTCAAGAATTCCCAACACATGGAATGGTGTGAAAATTTCTCAAGCTCCAACATGGAGATAAGTAAGAACCGGGGGATTCTTTAGTCTCGCGGATTGTACGAGCGATGCTACGTTGTCTAACCGTAATCGCGAGAAACCCAATTTATCAAGCCTTCGTCCGCCCATCAAGCATGCTCTGCACCACGTCTCTCATCGTTTTTCTTTATGCCACTTTTCGCGTGTACTCAAGCTGGTCCAACGGAGACACTGCCAACTGTCGTCGCCTTGTCTGAGACTTTTACAATGTCGCGTGGTTTACGTGCCTCTCGTACCAAAAATGGCGATCTCAGAGGTCGGTTTTACTTCTTCCCATCCGCCATGACGGTTATTATCGTTCTGGGTCTTTCGTTTATCCCCTTTTTCATGATATTCAGCATGATAGTGAGGAAATTACGTCGAAACATGCGTTGAATTATTGTGGCAGAGCAATCCTCACATTTTCACAGATAATATGGGGCACCGATCTAAAGCCGCGATCACTTCAAACTTATATCTCTGTAATAAAACATAATAACATTTCATGTTTCGATTTCGCTGATACGACGCGACGTGCGATTGTCACAGTACTTGGCACCTATCATTTTATGTCTAGATTAACGTACACCGTTATGGTAAATAATATATAGTTAGATAGAACGCGTTGCATAAAACAGTTTTTAATCTCTAGTGCTGACATTTCTTTCTCTCTCTCTCTCTCTCTCTCTCTCTCTCTCTCTCTCTCTCTCTGTCTTTCTCTATGTCTACTCAAATGTTGTTATGTTTTAACAGCGTTTTTAAATCCGATTTAGTTGCGCATTTAGGATAAAGCTCGGTTCATACTGCAAATGGTTTACTGCATTTTATGTTTCTCATATTTTCAATTACAACACTGCACATACTTCATGTTATGATACAAGGACATCTTTTTCATTTGCCATAATTATAATATTATCTCAAAATGATAAATTGAGTGAGTAGAGATTTTGAAATATATGGAATATTTTATAATTTTCAAAGGACGAGTCGTATTTCATAACGCATCATCACTGCGGAAAGGATTGGATTATGGCAAACTGTGCAGACCAGATTTCGGTGATGGGAAAGAAAGAGAGACATGAGAAATAAAAAAGAATATAAAAGTCGCCAAAGCGATCCATCAGAGGACTGTTGTTTGATTTACGAGCATGCTACACCTCGCAACAATTTATTTCATTTATCTTACTTGTATGTTTTCTTTATGAC